AAAAAAAAAAAAAAAAATACAAGTCCTTTATCAGAAATTTGGCTTGCAAATATTTTGCCAAGTCTTTTTAGTCTGTTAATATTTTCTATTAAAGAGAAGTTCTTACTTAATTTTGATAAAATCCATTTTTTTCCTTTTACAAATTGTGCTTTTGGGTATTATAGCTAAGAAATTTTTCACCTAACCCCAGGACACAAAGATTTCCTCCTGTGTTTCTTTCTAGAAGTTTTGTACTTTTAGAAATGTTATATTTTTTATATACATATATATATATATAAAAAAATAGAGATGGGGTCTCGCTCCCTCACCAGACTGGAGTACAGAAGTGGGAGCACAGTTCACTGCAGCCCCCATCTCCTGGCCTCAAGTGATCCTCCTACCACAGTCGCCTAAAGTGCTGGGATTACAGACATGAGCCACCACCACACAGGGCCACAAAAGTGTTATTTAGTTCCAAATAATTAGGGATTTTTCCAGAAGCTTTCTGTTACTGACTTCTAATTTAACCTCAGTGCGGGCAGGGAATCGAGTTTTTATGAAGTGAATCTTCTGAAATTTATTGAAACTTGTTTCATTGTCCAGAATATAGTCTGTCACAGTAAATATTTCTTGTGCTCTTGAAAACAATGTATATTCTTCTACTATTATGGGTGGATTATCTTGTAAGAGTTAGATCAAGTTAGTTGATAGTGTTGTTTAGGTATTCTATATCGTTACTTATTTTCTGTCTACTTGCTGTATTATTGAGAAAGGGATTGTGGAATCTCTGGCTGTATTTGTGGATTTGTCTATTTCTCTTTTCCTTTTCATCAATCTTGTTTTATGTATTTTGAAACACTGTTATTAGGTACAAAAACATTAGGATTTGTATGTCCTATTTATGAAGGGAACAGTTCATCATTATGAAACTACTATATTTATCTCTGGTAATTTTTTTATCTGTACCTATTCTGTCTAATAATATAGCCACTCTGGATTCCTTTTGATAAGCATTAATATGATAGTTTTTTTCCATCTGTTTAGTTTTAACATTTTGGATCTTTCCATTAAAATCGAGTTTCCTGTACGGAGAATATACTTGAATCTTGCTTTTTATCTAATTTAGCAGTCTCTGTTTTTTAGTTGTGGTGTTTAAGCCAGAGATCAACAAACAACTATCTATAGGCTGAATCCAGCATGTAGCTTGTTTCTGTATGACTTGTGAGGTAAGAATAGTTTTTAAATTTTTAAAGGGTTGAAAAAAATCAAAAAGAAGCTAACCTAAAAAGCTTAACATATTTACTGTCTGGCCCTTTATGGAAAAAGTTTGCCAAATGCTGATTTAGACTATTTATATTTAATGTATGATTGATATGTCTGTGTTTAACCAGTAACACAAGAAAGAAAACTATTTTTCTTTTTGTCTCATTTGTTCCATTTTTCCCCTTTTTTCCTTTTTTGCTGCCTTCTTTTGGATTATTCTCTATTTCTTTATATCTCCTTGGCTAGTTTATTGGCTATAACTCTATATTGTGAAATTTTAGTGGTTGCTTTAGGATATGTAGTGTAAATTTTTTAACTGACCACAGTCTACCACTTCATATAGTCTAAGAGCCTTACAACAATAGACTTCCATTTCTGGCCTTCGGTCCTTTGTGCTATTGTCATACATTTTACCTATGCCTATATGATAAGCCACCCAGCACATTGTTATAATTTTTGCTTTAATTAGTTAATTATCTTTTTAAATATTTGAAATTAAAAGTAAAGATTTTGTAACTACTATATAGTTCCCATTTCTGATGTTCATCATTCTTTTGTGTAGATTCAAGTTTCCTTCTGATGTCCTTTTTCTTCTGCTTGAAGAACTTTCTTCAGTGAAAATCTGTGATGAGTTCTCTCAGCTTGTATATGACTGAAAACATTTTTATTTCTTCTTCATTTTTCAGATAGTTTTGCTGGGTATGGAGTTCTAGGTTGACAGGGCTTTTCCTACCCCCAGTATTTTAAAGATGTTACTCTATTGTCTTCTAGTTTGCATTGCTTCCAACATGAAATCATCTATAATCCTTATTTTTATTCATTTGTACATAATATTTCTTTTTTCTCTCTCCTTGCTTTTAAGAAATTTTCTCTTTATCACTGGTTTTCAGCAGTTCACTATTATAATCTATGTCACGTTTCTTGTGTTTGGGGTCCTTTGGGCTTCTTGGATCTATGGGTTTATAGTTTCATCAAATTTCAAAAATTTTTGGTTTGTTTTTTCAAATTTTTTTGCCTCACAATCCCTTCTTCCTTTTGAGTACTCTGATTATATGAGTTAGCAGCTTGATGTTGTCCACAGTTTACTGATGTGCTCTCTCTTTTTTTTAAGTTTTTTTTCCTCTGTGCTACATTTTGGATGGTTTCTATTGTTATGGTTTTTTTTTTTTAATTCATTAGTCTGTTTTTCTGCAGTGTATAATCTGCTCTTACAACCATCCAGTATATTTTTCATCTCACATATTATAATTTTTATCTCTAAAAACTTGATTTAGATCTTTAATATCTTCTTTGTCTCTATTTAACATGTTTAACATTTTCTCTGGCATCCTGAGTAGAATACAGTTATAACAAATATCTTGATATCCTGCCTGTTCATTCTATCATCTATGCCATTTCTTACTAAGTTCCAATTGATTGATTTTGCTCCCTATTATGAACTGTGTTGTCCTGCTTCTTTGCATAATTAGTGCTATAGAATAAATGTTTATGTCCTGCCAAAATTCTTATGTTGAAACCTAATCTCCAAGGTGATGATATTTGGCGTTGGGGCCTTTGGAAGGTGATTAGGTCATGAAGGCAGAGCTTTGCTTTGTAAATGGAATTACTGCCCCTTGTTAAAGACAGTCCAAGAGAGCTCCCTTGTCTCTTCCACCATGGAAAGACACAGCAAGAAGATCATTATCTACAAACCAGGAAATGGGAGTGTAGATTGACTGCAGGGTGCATCCCTCTGTTCTCAGGTGTTGGCAGGCTCTTGTTCATTGCTTTTCTTTTTCAGTGCACTTAGAAAAGCCATATTATGACAGAATCCACATTAGCAAGAAAATGCCATCACTTTGCAAAGTAATCAAGCCTGTTTTTTCTCTGATTTTAAAACCATTCTTTTCAGGTCATTATCCCATTGTTATTTTGACTTTTTCTTTCCTCAATCAAAAAGGGTATTATTTGGCAGCTCTGAAGATCTTGAGGCTTTAGTTATAGAAAAATTAAATGCTTAGCAGTGTTATTTTCTGGTGCCAAAATATTCATTTCTGTGATTAAATGTAGGTAAAATGGGTAAAGAGGCATATTTCTTTTCCATATTGCAAGTAAAGCTTAAGATCCCTTATTCCTGAAAGGGGCAGAGAAGCCTAGTGTAGGGAGAGGAAGTCTACTGATAATCCACAAACCGACTTTAAGAAATCATCTCAACTTTCTTCTTGGTTTGAAGTTATTCAAGAGTCTCTAGCAGAAGTCACTGGGTGAATTTTAACTGTTTCTCTTTGTCACCACTGATGTCATGAATTAGGTGTTGCGTTCTCTTGCTGCTCCTGGCTGGCGATGAGACCCAGGATAAGAGTGGGGCAGGGAGGGTTTCTCGAGCCAGCCTGACCCGGGGAAGTCTCACAGCCCACTAAGGCTATGAGTCAGGCTGATATGAAGTCCCTATCTGTTGTAGAATCCATGGTAGAGAGTGAACTCAGGTTGACTCCACCAGGGAAAATTCCCCATGACACAGGCAGGTCCAACTGAGCTGTCTGCGGTGGAGTCTCCTACTCTTTCTCCTCTCTTTTCATCCACTGAGAAAGCACAACCCAAGCTGCTGCCACGACCAGGCGCTGACCTGCACTCTCACCTGCATAGCACGGCAGCCTCACCGGCCTTCCATGAAGCACAGGGTGCTCCCATATGTGCCCTGCTGCAGTTCCCCTCTACACCTAGGCTCAGTACCCACACACCTGGAAACATGCCGTCGTTCCAGTGTGCAAGGACTGGGCCCCCGAAGGCGCGCTGAGCCGTGACCCCCTCTGTGCTTCCTGAGCTGTCTAAGCCTCTGGGACCTCAGTGCAACTTTGACTGTGGTTTAATCAAACAGGGGGTTCTGTCTGTGTCCAGTGTGAGAGGTGGACTGCTCGTTTCACAGCTGTGGATTTTCCCTTTCTGTCTCCCCAGAAATTGCAGGTGCTGCAGTGTCTGAAATTTCCGGGCCTTTCTCAACAGAGGACATAGCCAGTAACTGTGTCCCCGCTCAGTCTTTGAGCGAACCCATTTTGTGGATCGTGTCCTATGCGCTCATGAGCGTCTGTGGAGCCATCCTCCTTGTCTTAATTGTCCTGCTGCTGCTGCCGTTCCGGTGTCAGCATCGCCCCCGTGACCCTGAGGTCGTCAATGATGAGTCCTCTCTGGTCAGACATCGCTGGAAATGAAGAGCCAGGCCTGACCTCAAGCAACCATGAACTCAGCGATTAAGAAAATCACATTTCAAGGGCAGCAGTCTGGATCGACAGCGGCACTTCCTCCCGTGCCCGCCCGTCTTCAATCTCTGTTCTGCTCCCAGATGCCTTTCAGATTCACTGTCTTTTGATTCTTGATTTTCAAGCTTTCAAATCTTCCCTACATCCAAGAAAAATAATTAAAAAAAAAAAAAAAAAAAAAACTTCATTCTAAACCAAAACAGAGTGGATTGGGCTGCAGGCTCTATGGGGTTGGTTATACCAAACTGTCTACATGTGCCACCAACACAAAACCAAGCCTTGGCTAGTTGTCTTCTGTCTTCAATCTCTGGAAAAATAAGTGCATATAGTTGATAACCCCTCTTAGCTTACAGGAAGCTTTTTGTATTAATCACCTTTGAGGGTATTTTGCGCCAGACCTCAACCTGGGTCAAAGTGGTACAAGAAGGTTTGCAGTATGATGGCAGGAGAAGCAGCCTGGGGCCTGGGGATATAACCATGCTGTACCCTTCAGATCTGGAAACAGAGCCACAGGCCCCTCTTCTGGGTTTGTGCTCTGAATGGGAGCCAGAATTCACTAGGAGGTCATCAACCAATGGTCCTCACCAGCCGCTTCTGAAGATGGAAGGCCTTTTGCCCGCCGAGGTAGAGGGGAAGGAAATCTCCTCTTTTGTACCCAATACCTGTGTTGTATTGTTGGTGCGAAAGTGAAAACACTACCTCTTTTGAGACTTTGCCCAGGGTCCTGTGCCTGGGTGGGGATGCAGGCAGCCTTGACCACGGCTGTTTCCCTCACCCAAAAGAATTATCATCCCAACAGCCAAGACCCGACAGGTGCTGAACTGTGCATCGATCAGGAAGAGTTCTGTCACCAAGCTGGCCACTATCACATATGCTTACTCTTGCTTAAAATTAATAAATCATGTTTTGATGAGAAAAAACTATTCTATTTCACTAGCTTAGTTGTCTCTTTTTCCAAATCTTCTCTGGAAGTAGGTTGGCTATTACCCTGTTGGGAAACAGGGAAATGGCCTGATGCCCATATTTCTGACCAGCTGTCGGGGAAGGAAGATGCAAGATGTGCAGAAGACACGAGGGAACGTCTACTTATCCCCGTGCTTCGAAGGCGTGTGTTTCCCTTTGCAGAACTGGGTAGGCTCAAGCATACCCATCCAATCAGCTTAAATCATTTAGCAGTTGACCTCAGTGCTTCTTCCTTTGGGGGTGTTGAATCTTTGGTAACAGGTGTGCAATGGTACCTTATTTGGGGGCAGTCCCTACTTTCCGTCACTTATTGAGGCCTTTGCCAAAGAAAAGTGGAAGCTGTTTCCTCGACCGAGCCTTATATGACCTGATGTCATTAGGAGAAGAGTTAAAAGACAGTATCCCCTCTCTCCTGATTGTGTGCCAAGTTCAGTGTTCCCTTTGCATTTCTTTTGGGGTGGGTTGGCTGTATTACAGAATTCCACCAAAAGTGCTAAGTATCCCCTCCTGCAGAAGTGTCGGTTGTATTCACAGTAGGCTACGTGTGGATGTTTCAGCCATCTGCTCTGCTCCCTGGGTCCCCGGGTCACCACCATACTGAGAAATATATGACTCTGCCAAAGAGACGTGGAGACCACGTCGGCTTGTCATGGTGTCCTGGAAGACTCTCCAGCAGCCAGAAGAACCTTCTGTGCTGTTCTCGCTAGAGAAGATTTGAGTTGCAGCTTGGAAGGAATATGACGGCATGGAGCGGGAGGAGGGGGCTCTTGTACCAGAGCCTGTTGTCACGCCTGCTCTCAGCTTGTTGAGAACTCATAATCTCAGAATGCATTTCACAGGGAGAGATGTCTGGAAGTCCAATTCTCATCCCATTGGCTTTTTCTGTGGTTGCTGTTTTGTGGGCCACTTTGCACAGGAGTGAAGCCAACACCCTGAGATTGTGCCTTCCCTTTGCTGTGAAAAATTCAAACCCTTGAAATAAAAGGAGGGAATCGCAGGTATGCCCTGATTAGTTTTCCTGCCTATTTCTTCATACAGACATCTTCTGTTTCGTTGTACTGTGTTAGGTTTCAGAGGCGGGGAGCTTCCTACTGCAGCAGATGAACAGGCATAGTTCTCAGAATACAGGAAAGCAACAAGTCAGGTTTCCAGGTGGAGGAGGTGAATGAAGTTTGCCGTCATGCTGTGCATTTCAGGTCAAATTTCTTTATCTTTTCATATCGCATGTCATTGGATGTGACATTTTGATGAAAATACTGAAATTACAAAAGCATAACTTTAGCAACAAGAATGAGATAGACAATTGAATGTGGGACATTTTTCTGGCATGCCTTGCTGCTGAGAATCGGACTTCCAGTCAAAACCCTGTTAGTGACACCCACCTCCTCCGGTTATGCAAATTGATGCTTAGCTTGGCAAGCCTTCAAGGAGGTTTGCTTGGAACAGGAAAGGAATTAGCAACCCTTTGAGGGTGTCATTTTTACCTTGTAATACACTGTGGAAAATTCTGGAAGACAGTCCTTGCCTGAAAAGGTGCAACTTAGCATTAGGTTGTTATCAGAAACCTTGTCAAGTCTGATGGGAAATGGATACTTCTATATAGACAATATTATTTTAAGATGCTGCTTTATTTTCTTGATAACTTCTTTGGAAGTCTGAAATGAAATCCTGCCTTCAGTAACTGAAACCATTTATTAAAAATAGCAAGAAACGAGATGGGAACCAATTCTATTTTTATTCTTGGGAATTTAAAAGAGCCACAAGTGATTGGTGTCAGCTCTCCCAGCATATACTGTACACTACTTTGTATTTCTCCTGAACCAAAACCAAGTACCTAGCACTCAGGAAACAGATGCCCTGTGTGTGACCGTGGGGAATGTTTTTCTACAACAGGTTCCACTTCTGAACACTTGGAAGGACCTTACCCGATTCATGGTGAAATACAGGTTTAGGTTGGAGATAAATTTGGGGTCAGTTACTGTTCAAAATTGTGAAAGTAGTCCCCAGGAAGACAGGATTAATGACTCCACAGTGCTTTGGATAATAGATTTTGAAAAGCAATTGTGAATTGGGGATTCCATCATTTTATTTAAGATGTGAAGAGGGATTTAATTATTTAATATGCCGGGTGCAAACTTGTGAAATTCCTCTTTCCCTGTCCCTGCTTGGTGGAGCTGCCACGTGTGGTTCAGTTCTAAGTTCTGGCCTAATGCCACTCGATATCATTGGGAATAAATCGCTGTCCAACAGTCTGTTCCACAAACAACAGTAATTGAGTTTTACAGACTTTATTCTGATTAGTGGAAATCAAATAATTGAATGGAATCCCCACGTGTTTTCTCTTGCACAAACTTATTAGACTTGATTAGAAAACTGTTTGGAGGAAAAGCTTGCCACTAAGTTTTTGTTGTTGTTGTTGTTGTTTTGAAAAACAACCCAACACCATAAAGTGTAAAATTAGGGGTTTTTGCCAAGAAAGCTATTAGATTTTCTGAAAGCCAAGAAAACTCCACGCCATAGAAGTTATTGTGTATATCTCTAGGGAGTTTTAAGAATTTGACATTTGAACTTTACAGCAGTTTACCAATTAAACAGCAAGCTGGAAAAATACATTTTGAGAGGGGTAGAAAGAATAAGAATATAATTAAAAGTATGCTAACAAAATAAGCAGAACATACTTTTTTAGAAAATGCAGTTTAGGCCAAGCACAGTAGCTCACGCCTGTAATCCCAGCACTTTGGGAGGCCGAGGCAGGTGGATCACCTGAGGTCAGGAGTTTGAGACCAGCCTGGACAACATCGTGAAACCCTATGTCTACTAAAAATACAAAAAATTAGCCAACTGTGGTGGTGCATGTCTGTAATCCCAGCTACTCAGGAGGCTGAGGCAGGAGAATTGCTTGAACCAGAGGGGCAGAGGTTGTAGTGAGCCAAGATTGTGCTACTGCACTTCAGCCTGGGCAACAGAGCGCGACTCCATCTCAAAAAAAAAGAAAGAAAATGCAGTTTCATTCCAGCCATCCTCAGATTTCCCTTCCCGTTAAAGTGGCTGAATTCACTGGAGATGTGATTTATTTTGCAGATCCACCAATTCCAAACCTCAGGAATATTCAAGCGGGAGTCATGTGTCAGTGACAGCTTTGACAGAGGGAGAGACTGGCTGGGTGACCCGGGTGTTGCCCACATGGAGCAAGGACTGGTTCATTCAACAGTTGGAGAGTACAGGATGGCTGGGACCTGGGAAGTTCCAGAATCTGAAAAGAGGGCAGGGCAAGAAGGAGCCAGAAGAGAGGTCCCACCCCTCAGTGGGCAGTGGGGCACAGAGGTCCGCACCAGCCAAGCACCTCCCAGGATGCCATGGGCACCTCATTTCACCCCACGTTTTTGGCACAGTCTGCTTTTTAGGTATTTTCTAAAGGAACTTCTCAGGATTGATTATTTGTCAGAGGAACAATTAGGCCAAGAGAAACTTGCTTGGCAGCCATACGTAAAACACATCTGTCCTAATAAAACTAGAGATGCCTCAAGGCCCAAGCAGGACACAGGCAGGTTCAAGGTCATACACCAGGAAGTTCATAGGGGAGGGTCAAGCGACTGAGGCCAAAGGGGGCTAGTAAAGTGCTCTTTGAGGTCTGAGCATCTGGAAGACTCCTAGCAGCAGTTACCCTGATTGTGTCATTGAGAGGCACAGCAACTGGGCCCTCACCGTTTCCGCCAGCTCTGCTGAGCCAGCTCAGCCCGTGCATTCCAAACATCCGACAGCTTATTTCTCCAGAATGTCTTCTGTCAGAGACTTCCAGAAAAGGAGCTCCCTCCTGTCTCACTGCTGTTAGCATGGGAGCCCTGCTCCCCGGGCTCCATGTCCCCGGAAGGTCCAAGTTGTCCCGCAGCACACCCAGCCCCATTCAGGGTCAGTGCAGGAGGGACCAGGGAATCTGCATTTCAGTAAGCTCCCCAGGTGAGGCTGGAGAGCAGAAACCTTGGCTCTCAGTTGTGAGCAGACTCCCTGGGCTGTTGGTGTCACCCTAGGGGTGGGTGAAGGCTGTTAGCCACATCTGTGGAATGTGGAAATGAGAACAAAGCCCCGCTGCTTAGTGCTGCCAGCAAAACCTCAAGTTGCATCAGTGGCTGAAATCTATCATAGGTGTTGAGGATATGTAACTCCCACCAATAAATACAGTATTTTCTTCCCTGCCCCTGAGCTTCCTCTGGGTTCCTTATCATCAGCTATTACACACAGACTTCCAGTGCTTCTAAACTAAATTGTACTGTGTAACTTTTATATCACACTTGTGTGCTTAAAAAGCACACAGTAGGTAGTGGCTGGGCCAAGAGACATCACAAAGCTTCCTGATAAATTCGAATCCAGCCACAGCAAGAGCAACGTGCGGGTACCTGGTCCCTGATGCTTGGGTGCACTGTTGAGCCTCGGGTACTTCTTGGACACTATTGTGAGAGCAGCCATCCTGGTGTCTCTGCCAGCATCTTGGGAAAGGATGTGATGGTAAAATATCTGTCTCTCCTCTGGGAATCAGGGCAGCCCCAGGAAGTGGGCAGTTCCCTTTACAGATGGATAATTATTTGTGTAAGACCAACCAGATAAAGTCCAGACTGTATAGAACACACGTGTGCCTCACACATAGCCATCTGAGTAAAGTATTTTGCCAATATAGATTTATAATTATAAATGATAGATTTGTAATATAAATTTCAGTGAGCTGGGCACAGCTGTCACTTTAGTGGTATCAATAAAAGACTGGAAAACTTGAGCGTCCTTGGCAACCTAGCCTTTGACATTGATGTTTTTACATAGGATTTTCTTCATTTGGGTTGGAATAAAAATGCATTTTTATTCACAAGGCATGGACAGATAAGAACATCATAAGGAGGGAAGTGTCTCCAAAAGTCAGGACTTATGTTTTTCTGTTGAGTGCTATATGTGGAGGTCATTGCAAATTCCCTGATA